GAGAACATTGATACTTGTAAGGTTTCACAACCAACTGGTTTCCCCTTGATGTTCCTTCAGTGTTTTGTTGCTGTGGACCAAGTTCATGGACAGATTCCATTGAGGTTTGGGGAACATTTCCTATTTGTTCTATTCCCCCTGTCAGGTTGCCCTGGGTAGAAGGACCTGTTCCATCACCTGTTCCTTCTTCCAGTGCTGCTTTAGTCTGGGCTGTGGTTTTATTTAAGTTTCTCACCAGCCCATCTTCTTCATCATCATGTTCCTGTCTCTCAGAAAGAATATTAGTTTCATCAAAAACTACATGAACACTTTCTTTAACACACATAATTATTTTGTTATAGACCTTATAAGCTTTACTATGTGAAGAATATTCCAAGAATACTCCCTCATCACTTCTGGGATCAAACTTGCCTAGGGAATCTTTACCATGGTTGTGCACAAATCACTTGCATCCAAATGTCCTAAGATGGGATATATTTGGTTGTCTCCCTTTAAGTAACTCATAGAGAGTCTTCTCTACAAGAGGTCTAGTCATGCATTTATTTATGATGTAGCATGCAGTATTTAAAGAAGCATAGTCCTAGCCATATCTTCAAGTGTCCTATTCTTTCTTTCAACTACTCCATTTTGTTGTGGAGTCCTAGGAGCAGAAAAATTATGATCTATGCCATGCTCATCACAAAATTCAGCAAATTTAGCATTTTTAAATTCAGTGCCATGATCAGATCCAATTGATGCAAGTTGATTACCTAGTTGTTTCTAAGTTTTTTTAACAAAAGAAGTGAACATGTCAAATGCTTTATTTTTAGATGTTAAAAATAATGTCCAAGTAAACCTAGAGTAATCACCAACAAGCACCATCACGTATGTTTTACCACCTCTGCTTAATGTTCTCATTGGACCACGGAGATCCATATGAACCAGTTCTATCGTTCTGGTGGTACTTACCACTTTCTTGCATTTAAAAGATGATCTTACCTGTTTTCCCCTTGCACAAGCCTCACAAACTTTGTCATCCTTGAACTTGATGTTAGGCAGCCCTATAACCAGGTCCTTGGAGACTAATTTGTTGAGTTAACTCAAACTTGCATGTCCAAGTCTCTTGTGCCAAAGGAGGGGATCATTGTCCAACACACATAAGCAAGTGAGTTTATTTTATGACAGCGTGGACAAATCTACAATATATATATATTATTCACTCTTTTTCCTTGCAAAACAATCTTGTCAGTGGTAAGATTAATCACAAAGCATTTAGTAAAGGTGAATCCTACCAAATTATCTCTATCACATATTTGTGATACACTAATTAGATTGTATTTTAGGTCGTCTACCAAATAGACATTCTCAATCGAGTGTGAGTCAGTCTTACCTACCTCACCAATCCCAATGATCTCATATTTCTTCCCATTTTCAAAGGAGATATTACCTCCTTTGAGGTCCTCAAGTGAAAGGAACTAGTTCTTGCTTCCTGTCAAGTGCTTTGAGCATCCACTATCCATGTACCATATTTGGCTGCTCCCTTTCACTTGGACCTGCAAAAGGAAATCAGGGATTAGTCTTAGGAACCCAAACTAGTTTGGGTCCCTTTCTATAGTCAAAAAGATGAATCAAATTCCTTTTATCCCAACATGGAACCCTATTTTTCCTTTGAACAAACTTTTTATTCTTTTGACTAGCCTTTTCTTTTGCAGTGCATTCACTTTAATAGTGACCAGTCTTACCACAGTGTGTGCAAATTTTGTTCTCATGAAGTGTAAGATACTTGCTTTTGGGATCCCATTTAAGTGGAAGATTCCCAAAGCCAATTCCTCTTCTATTGCTACTATGATGTTTCTGTAGCTATGACAGTGCATTGGAGGACCTGTTCCATTTACAAGTTCTATCTAGTTCATGCTTGACCTTGCCTAGATCCTCTGTCAAAATTCTTACCTACTCATCCTTCTTATACAACTCATCTTTTAGTTTACCTACATTTTCTTCTAGAGTGAGTTGTGTGCTATCAGTTGTCTTCTCACTTGTCCCTAATTTCAGTTTTAGGTTTTCAAATCTAAGTTCTAGGACATTTGATTCAAATGCATGAACCTGGTTCTTTAATGCAGCATTTTCACTTATAGTCTCACTAACCCTAAGTTCCAGGTTCTTACACTTTACTTTTAAAATCATACATTTCTTAGACAATTGTTCCTTTTCATTGTTTATATCTTCAGATTCGTAAATGAAATCTAGAAGTAACTCAAATAGCCTTTCTTTAGACAAAAACTTAATCTTTTTTTTTAGATGGATTATACTTACTTCAGATTCCTCATCGGATTCTCCAATTGTCATAAGTACTTGTTCATCTCCATCTTCATCATCTCAGTCCTCATCTGAGGTTTCTCCTCAAGCAGCAACCATAGCCTTTGTTGATCCTTTATTCTTCTTGAGATGAACCTGTTCCTTCTTTCTGTTTCTTCGTTCAACTCTTTCCTTCTTCCATTCAATTTCCCATTGAGGGTAGTTTTTGATGTGGTGATCAGTCTTCTCACACTTGTAGCAACCTTCATTGGTCTTTTTTTCAGGAACCCTTGATTTGTTGTAGCCTCCACTTCTTGAAGAACCCTTTCCTCTCATTAGGTACTTCTTGAAGTCCTTTGTGATCATAGCCATTTCATTATCTTTTAGATCAGAACCTTCAGTGATTCTGAGTGCCAGGCTCTTTTCCTTCTTGGGTACATCCATCTTCATAGTTTTCCTTCTAAGTTCATAAGCAGTGAAGTTTCTAATTAGCTCATCCAACCTAAGAGTGGCAATGTTCTTTGATTCCTGAATGACAGTGATTTTGCTCTCCCAAGTAACTGGCAGAACCCTTGTCAGAATCTTCTCGACTTTGTCTTCTTCAGAAATAATCCTTCCAAGAGACTTAAGTTCATTTGTCAGTGTGGTGAACCTTGTATATATCTCTTGGATGGTTTCCCCTTCCTTCATGGTGAAATTCTCATATTGAGGATATAGTAGTGTTCCTCTGGACCTCTTCACTTGAGGTGTTCCTTTATGGGCTACTTGCAAAGTGTCCTAAATTTCCTTAGTAGTGGTACAACTTTGGATTCTACTGTACTCATCTGGACTGAGTCCACAAATAAGCCATTTTTGGCTTTAGCATTCTTCTCCCATTTCCTCAAGTCTCCAGCAGTGCAGTCAGCTCTTCTTTTTGGCACCTCTTCTCCTTCGGCATTTATCTACATGGTAGCTAGTGGACCATCTGTGACAATGTCCCATAGCTCATAGTGTTCTCCTATGATGTGATCTCTCATCCTATTTTTCCACCAAGAGTAATACTGACCGTTGAAGAGTGGTGGCCTAGCAGTGGATTTCCTTTCCCAGTTTCCAGGTGGTGCACTCATCTTAATCTTCTCCTAAGGTATTAGCCTCTTCAAGGATAACCTTGCTCTGATACCAATTGATGTTTTAACTTCAATACCACACAAGAGGGGAGGGGGTAATTTATGTGGTGTCCAATTTTTTACGTGCACAGATTATAGAAGGACTTGGTTCTTCTATGTGTTCCTTATACTACTGTTGCGGAATAATAAATGTAGAAATTAAAGAGCACAAGTATTTTACGTGGAAAACATCTGGCTCAAAAAGTGAAAAAACCACAACCTACTTCCCAGTAGGATTTTTCCAAACTCTCCACTAAATTACTGAGCCAAAAATTACATTTACAAACCGCTTTTGTAAACATAGGATTAACTCTAATCCCGTTGTGGCAACCAACCTCTAACTGCTATGACAACTTCAAGTTAACTCTAACTTGAATACTCTGAGTACCTATTACAATTGCCTCTAGATAAAGCTGAAAGGTACAATATGAAAACACGTACTACAATTAAACTAGAATAAAAGACAGACACTTGGAACTGGTTCTTCTATCTGGTTCATGTAGCTTTAGGTTCGCACAATTGAATTACACATGAACTGCTTGCAAAACGCCTTGCTATTTTGCTCTCAATTCACGTTTAACTTCTGCTTTTGTGCGTCACTTGTAGAATGAGAACATCCTGCAATTTATAGAGTTAGTAGAATAGAAAATAGCTAGAGTTCTAATGCTACTCTTCCTTAGTGGAAGAGTTCTAGTTAATCTCAACTCCTAACTCCTTCCTTATCTTGGTTAATGTTCTCGTTGAGTAAGAAGTCCTTCTCCTTATCAATTAAACAATCTTTTCGATCATGAAATATCTATTATTATGCCAGATTTCGTTTATCTCCTGCATGTGCATCTCACGTGCTTTGAATCTGCCCGTGTCTATGCCTACCAGTGATGGACCTGGTTCTTCCCCGATTTCCTTTGTCAATCTTCAAAACTATCCTTTACGTGGGCCAACATTTGTCAATGTTGAACATTTAAGCAAATTTTGGCACGACCATGATTTTCCCCTTTACTGCGTTTTGAACGTCCGATTCCATCGCGACATTGCAATTGATAAAGATTGTGTGTTCTGTGCCAATTTCTTGTACTAAGGAAGTTCCAAGGTTTGACCTAAATGTTTGCAATTGTAATTTTTTGCACCAATCTCTCTAAAAAGCACAAGGAGCTTGGCTTGAGATGAAAGGAAGAGTCTACAACTGCTCGAGATCCTTCGCTAATATTGCAATAATTTATAACATCATATTAATGTACAACACATCAACCATTTTAAGTTTAAGGTACAACATAATTTAATTAAACTAATGTAATAATATACTCTACCAGCTTAAAAAATGAAATAATAAGAAGGAAAACATGAATCAATCATTTAACTTTATACTTCCGAACTATAATTTCAATACTTTATACTTCCGAACTATAATTTCAATCGACCATAGTGAGCAAGCTTTCTATTGATTGCTTTTATCTATACAATATTGGATAAGTTTCAGTCAAATGATCTGATCAATCAATTGAATATTACATAAGATGGTCTTCTCCTTATTTATCCTCACTATATATTATAGTAATAAGATTTGCTTTTACAATATAATGGTTACACTGCGTTGTTTATAGTTGGTGGAAACAGTTTGTTATAGGTCGTTGTTAAAGCCACATTTGTAGTGCTAAAACCACCATCAAGAACGAGATTCATACCACTCACATATTTGGAATCATCACTTACCAAATATAGCACTGCTTTTGCTACCTCCTCTTCATTTAATAATGCTCCTTTCAAATTTCCTGCTTCTGCAAACAATTTGTCAGCCATTTGTTTGTCTATTCCGGTTCTGTTTAGTACAAGTGGTGTGCTAATGAAATACGGAGAAACACAGTTAACTTTTATCCCATACTCCCCTAATTCGACTCCAACATTCTTTGCGAATCCTAGAAGTGCATTTTTCGAGGCCGAATAGGTGTGCGGGACGTCAGTACCATAACACACTGTCGCAGCACTTGCTGTGAAAACAATGGCACCTCTGATATTAGCTGGAATCATCACTCTAGCAGCGTGTTTCACGCAAAAGAACGCGCCAACAACGTTTACGTCGAAGTTGCGAGTTGGAATGGACAAAGAATGCCTTCTCTGTGCCAATCTCTTGTACTACGCTAGTTGCGAGACTGTCCTGAATATCTGCAATTGTAACTTTTGCACCATGTTGAACAAATAGCCTAGCTGTGGCTGCTCCTATGCCACTAGCTCCACCAGTTATAAATGCTACCTTACCTTCTAGCCTGCAAAAATGAGTTAAAATAGTGATTTCTAAGTGCAGAAGACAAGAAGAAGATTATGAATAAAGAAAATACGGAAAATTACTTTTTGGCTATTGGGGATTGTAGAGAAGAGCTGGCCATTTTCTCAAACTTGAGAGCTCTGTGTTGTTACTCATACGAGAGAGATTTAGAGGCTATATTTATAAGAAAACAACATATATATAATCCAACGTGTGAAATCAAGTCTGAGTTTGAATAGCATAAATGAGATAGTGTCTAGGCCTCATTTTATGTGTCTTAGTTTGACGAGACACAAAATTTAAAAAAATAAAGAAGACTTTTGAACCTCGTTATAAACTAAAGGTATGTATATCATATTCAAAGTATCATTTAAATCTTTTAATCCTAAATATGCCATGACATATTTATAGGGAGGATCATCAAAGGTAAAACGAGATATTAGGATTATAATCTTACTAAATACAAAAAGAGATATTCTATTGGCCAAATACATGCGGAGGCACTTTAACTTATCCGAATTTTTCGTTTAGACATTTAAACTTCGGCTAGTACCTACTGAACACCAAAACTATTCCAAAAGCGTTCCAATTAGACACATTTTGCTAACATGGCAAAGTGTTTATTTCCCACTCTCTTAAAGCGCGTTTAGTATCTCATAAAACAGTAAATTCATTTTTTTTTTCTTTTTCCTTTCTCTTTCTCTTTTTTTCATATTCTTTTACTCTGGTTTTTCCTGAAGGTCGGCCTACCTTGCCAGAAATTTCCATGGCCGGCCCGACAGCAAGCCCGCTTCTCCCTTCTCCGCCAAGAACACTCCGAAAAAACATTAGATCTGGTTTTTCCAATCCCACCCAATTATAACACCACCATCAGCTACAGCTTTCCTTGTAAATTTGATAATAGAAAATCAGAGTCAAAATCGGTTGCCGGATATGTGTACTGAAATCAGAAATTTGCATTTATTATGGGAGTTGGTGAGACGATTAAGGAAACACAAACTTAAATATTTGAAATTGTCAAGCAGAAACTTATTTGACATTCAGGACAGCTTAGTAGAGACATTTTCCTTATTTGTCTATTCTCTTTACATTTTTTATAAGCATTGTTTTTTCTCTGTTAATGGTATTTCCACCCGAGTTAGTGGTGGTTGCATCAAGATCTCCTTTATATCAATTCTAGTTTCCAATTTCTGCTAAGAACCCCGTTTTAACACTACAACAACTAATTTTTCATGTGTTTAAGCTGCAAAAAGCTCATGCAAAATTAAGGAAACGTTACTGGAAAAATTTAAAGGAAATATCGGGAGAGAGAAAGAGAGTTTTTTTTCGAGGGCGGGGGGAGGGTGGGTGGCGTTAGCTATAACGAAGTTTTTTATTTAATTTCCCCTCAAAATGTTTTTTTCTAATTATTTGGGATCAAATTCCAAGTGTCTCTGTCTCATTGATTTGTTTTGCCAGGTCAACTGCATTTGAAATGCACGCACTTTATTTTTTGGCTATCTCAACAAAATGTGTCTAATTAATACACTTTTGGAAGACTTTAGGTGTTCAATAGGTACTAGTCCGAGTTCAAGTGTCTAAATGAAAATTTTGGACAAGTTTAGGTGTCTGGCGTATGTATTTGGCCTATTCTATTTAAAATAGACAAAAAAAAGTGTAATAAGATACTGAAATTGAATCGGAGGGAGTATTGTCAAATAACTATTGTGGATCTCACAATATTTCAGCATCCTTGATTATGAAACGGGCAAATTGCATTAGGCAGGAGATATAGGGCTTTAACTATGGCTACTTTTCAGAAGTTATGGTGTAGCCAACGAGGAACTTGATAACAAGCCGTGTGAACATGGCTAAGCATTTATAAGGGCCTATATCTAGGACGCATTATTCGCCGGCTACTTATATTTTATCCGGTTGGGTGGACGGTTGGGTGGACGATTGTTTAGGTTAATTCTTCTTCATTATTCTTCAAAGCCCGACGTTTAGTTGATGACCTGTTTCTCTACATATTATTTTAGTTTTAGAAGCATTCACTTATTGGATCAAAATTGGGGTATAATCACTTTTATTCCGCAGCAGAAACTATTTATATTTGGTAATCAAAAAAGTGTATAAAATTTGTATGATTTTTATATATAACATACCGAATGTATATATATATACAAAAAATATATAAATTTTATACATTTTTTCGACTATTATTTTTATAGCGGCTATACAATATTATTTTTCCATCAAAATTCTCCACGGTCGAGTGGTCTCATTATGGTAATTATAGTGAAAATAGCACGGACTAGCCAGTTTTCGGATTGGTAATTGAAAAATAGCTAGCGTTTGCAAAGTTATTGAAAAATAGTCACTAATTTGCTGCAACACGGAAAGTTCCAGCATGATATACTGGAGATTGGTTCACCTGTGTATGAACTTTCAGCATATTATGCTGGAACTATAATACATAGAAAGTTCCAGCATAATATACTGGAGATTGGAGCACCTGTGTATGAACTTCCAGCATATTATGCTCGACCAATATATTATGCTGGAATTTCAGTATATTATGCTGGAATATTTTCATGATTTTGAACTGTGTTTTTCTTCGGATTTATCTTTACATGAAAAGTGGCTAAATTTCGATTACTTTGAAACTGTGGCTATTTTTTAATTACCACTTGTAAATCTGGCTATTTTTGAATTTCACCCGTAATTATTCTCATTTGCCGACATATAGTAGCATTAGTATAACCATTGCAGCAGTTAAATAATATTCCCTCCATTTTAATTTAGATGGGGTAGTTTGACTCGGCACGGAGTTTAAGAATAAAAAAGAAGACTTTTGAAACTTGTGGTCTTAAAAACTTAAGGGGTAAAAGTTTTGTGGGGACATGATATTTTTGTGGTTTTAAAAACTTCTCATTAAAGGTAAAATGAAGAGTTTAAAGTTGAATTATTTCCAAATTTAAAGATGTGTTATTTATTTTGAAATATACTAGAAAGGAAAGTAGTTCGTCTAATTTGAAACGGATGGAGTAACATATTAATATCACAAACACAAAAAATTCTAAGTCTTCTATCTCGAAACTTAGTAAAAGATAAACATATACAGACTGGTTGAAGTGTGTGAAATATGAAACAGGGAAGGATGTTAACTGACCAGGATGACCTAATTAACTCATGCAGAAATAATCAAACATTAATTTGGACTGTTGCATAGAGAAAATTACGAAATCTTTTATATAGATAGTGTCACGATCCAAAATTCACTAAAGATTGTGATGGCGCTTAACACCGCCGTCAGGTAAGCCAACACTGATTTATCAACTCACTTACTTATTTTAGTAATTAAAATTAAAAAATTTCCTTGATTAAATCGTATGTAATAGATTTTTCAAAGTAAGTAAAAATATTTACACAACTACATCAACGAACAACCCGTAGGAACACCCAAAATCCGGTGTCACAAGAACATGAGTATTTTTCTAAGGAGTACAATAATAATACAACAACTGTCCCGAATGTAATAAGACAGAATAAAATAATTAGTACAATGGAGACTCAGTGAACTGCGATGCGTAGCTTGAAATGCAGCTCACATGAAATCTCCTCAACAAGTGCCCCTACGCGCCAAGGGAATCATCAAACGATCCTGTCAAATCCTGCACATTTAGTACATAAGTACAACATGAATACGTAAATCAATGCGTACCCAGTAAGTATCTAACCTAACCCCAGATAAGTAGTGAGGAGGGGTCGATATCGACACTTACTAAAGGCCCAATAAAACAATATAGTAAAACATGAGCAGATATGAAGCATACAGAAATGATGGGATAAATCTGTAAGTTACATAATCTTCCAATTACTTCTTTTAAAACATGAATTTCTAAATCTTGTGTTCTACCTTAATAGCTCAGAAAATGTCAAGTGTCATTATCAAATAAATAAGGAATACCATGTAAAACGTTGGACATTAGTGGAAGGTTTATCTCGTGAATATTCGTACTAATAGCGTTATGACGCACGATTTTCGCCGAGGTCGTTCGGCTCGATCCAGAATAATGTGTACACTAGCGAGGGTCGTGCGGCACGAACCACAAATGCATCTATATACTGCCGAGGCGTTCGACCCGCTCCACAAGAAAAGGAAGGAAGTCACCGAATTACGGGACACGTGTTTACATTATGGCACATGAGCCTAAAATGAATATAATTTTTACCATTTCCCAAGTGACTCGCCCACAACTTAAAATTTTAGGGCTTGGCCTAGTGTACATATATTTATTTCTAAATCAATTTTACTTATAACTTCAATTAATTAAGCCAGCAACATAAGTTCAAATGATTCAAATATTACATAATAAGATACTAAGTCTACCCGGACATAAATATGCTCTAGCGACGTATGGACTCTAGTCACCTCATGGGTACGTAGCACCCACAACTAGCTGCACATAAAAATAAATATCACCTAGGGGTAGTTTCTCCCTCACAAGGTTAGACAGGAGACTTACCTCGCTCCGAAGTTCCATAACCGTCTCCAAAGCCTCTCTAACACCTCGAACCAAAGCCCGTCGATCCAAACTATTCAAATAGTGTGCAACCCAATCAAAATGTATTCCAATACCCATAATTAATCAATTTAAACAATTTCCAACCTCGCTCGAAAAGTTGATAAAACCAACCCTCGGGCCCACGTGCCCGGATTCCGAATATTTTCGAAGATAAACTTTACCCATAACACCAGGAACTCAAATATATGATTTATTCCTAATTTCATGCCCAATTTCGTGGTTAAAATCCAAAAATACAAATTTCTAGGTTTTCTACCAAAATCCCAAATTTCTACTAATTTTCATATTCAAATCAAAATATAAACCATGTATTTAACTTGTAATATGTAGGAATCCCTTACCTCGTGGTTCTTGATGAAACTATACCCTTGGAGCTCTCTAAAATCGCTCCAACCAAGTGAAAATGAAAGAAGATGGGCCAAATCCCGTTTTTTATAAAAACCTCACTGCCCAGCGACATTTCGCATATGCGGAACATGAGTCGCTTCTGCGGCATAGATACCGCTTCTGCGACTCCCTCTTGGCCCCTCAATCTCCGCATCTGCGGCTCCTCATGCACATGAGCGGTGTCGCTTCTGTGGAACTCGACCGCATCTGTGGTCCCAGTCTTCCCCAGTCGCTCCACTTCTTCACTCAAAGGCACCGCATCTGCACCATCGTAGATGCAAAAATGGTCTCGCACCTGCACCACTGCCCAGCTCGCCCAGAACTGCTCCTGCGACCTTCTTGGCCGCTTCTGCGGCTCCGCACCTGTGGCCAAAACCTCGCAGGTGCGGTTACATCAGATGCCAGCTGCTTCAGCATTTCCCCCAAGCCCAAACTCGATCCGTTAACCATCCAGAATCCACCTGAGGCCCCCGGGACCTTGACCAAATATACCAGCACATCCCAAAATACAATACAAACTTAGTTGTAGCCTTAAACCATGTCAAACAACATCAAAATCATGAATCCCGCCTCGAATTAAACATATAAATTTTTTCAAATTTCGAAATTCTATATCTTGTGCCGAAACGTATCAAATCAATCCAAAATGACTTCAAATTTTGTACATGAGTCATAAATGATATAACAAAACTATTTCAAGGCTCGGAACCACAAACAGACATCGATAACATCAAAATCCACTTTAAACCAAACTCATAAAATTCTTAAACCTTTAAAATGTCGGCCTTCCATAATAAGCGATGAAATGCTCCCAGGTGATCCGATACTCAACCCAAACATACGCCCAAGTCCGAAATCATCATACAAACCTATTGGAACCTTCAAATCCCAATTCCAAGGTCGTTTACTCAAAAAGTCAAGCTTTAGCCAATTCTTTCAACTTAAAGCTCCCGAAATTAGAATTTTCTTTCCAAATTAACTCTGAACTTTCCAAAGTTCAGTTACGACCACATGTACAAGTCATAATACCCGAAGTGAAGCTACTCAAGGCCTCAAACCACCAAACAATGCGCTAGAGCTCAAAACGATAGGTCGGGTCGTTACAGCTAGAATTATTTGATTTGTTAAAATGAACTCCAGAAGGACTCGAAATACCCAAAAAACAAATGTCATGTTGAGTTTTAGAAATGCAAAATACATAAGTTACCACTTGAACTATGGACCAAATTCTTGTTACACATTTTTTGCTAACGAAAATCACTTTCCTCTCTCAATCTTTTTAAAGTGTGTCTAAGACACACCATTTTTTTCTTTACCATTTTTTCAGAATATGAGTAATGTCACGCACCTATAAGGCCATGACACGTGTTATTATTATTTTTTTTGAAAATAAAATACTGAAAATTTACAACTATACCCCTTAGAAATTCTCTATCTCTTTCTATTTTGTCCTCTAATAGAAAGAAAGAAAAAAAAACAGAGCACGCCACCTTCAGATTCAACAATGATTTTTAGGAGCCCGAGATAACTTTTTTAAATCAAATAGCTCATTTTACAATAATCAAAAAGATTGTTTCACTCCAAAACCGTCTAATAACCTATCGCGATGGCGCCTATCTCGATATTAGGTAAGCCGACAACCTTAATAAACCACAATTTCTTTTAAGTTTAAAAATATAATATTTAAACACAATATACAAGTCTCACAAATACCGATACACACACTCCCAAAATCTGGTGTCACTGAGTACATGAGCATCTATATATTACAAGTATGGAAAACGTGGTCTATAATAATCTGAGACCAAATACAATAAACAAAAGGATAGGGAAGGAAAGACAAGGTCTGCGAAATATGGCAGCTACCTCTGAATCTCCCGAAAATCGGTTGTGTGAAAAAATCAACACCCACTGTATCCGGGATCACCTGGATCTGCACACGAAGTGCAGGGTGTAGTATGAGTACAACCAACTCAGTAAGTAACAATAATAAATAAAGAACTGAAAGTAGTGACGAGCTTCTCAACTAAGTCCAAATACAGTACTTTCCAATATAAAAGAGTAGGCATGCTCCCAAGTTCAACATTTAAGATTTCACTGAAATTTCATATCAAGTTTGACCGAAACAAAAAATAATGCTTTTCCGAAATTTCCAAAATAGTGATATATGACAGCTGAAATGCAGCAAATAATGAAATCAATGCATCCTCTCAGAGTAACAGTCACTCAGTCATCCCATTCACTCCAACCTCACATTCATTCTTTCCTTATAGTCGCTCATTCCTCACAGTCACTCGGAACTCGCACCCAAGCGCTATATCAAGCCAATCATGGCATAAATCAATAAAAACATATTGCGGTGTGCATCCCGACCCATAAATATCCTCACAATTAGACCCTCGGCCTCACTCTGTCATCAACCTCTCCAGTCTCTCGGGCTCTTAGAAATCATGATAATCAGCCCAAAATTGATAATATGATATTTTAATAAATAGCAACAGAGACTGAGATATGATATGAAATGAATAAACATGACTGAGTGTGAAATTACAGTTTGAACATATAATTCAACCACAGAAATGACCCCAGTGGGTACCAATAATAACAGCATATGTCTAAGCATGATTTTTAATACGAGTCTCAGCTCAATTTTCTCTAACACGTAGAGAATGTACGGATATCAATAGATAATTCAACTACACAGTCCCATGAAATTTGACCAAGTCTCAATTCCTACAGTGCACGCACACATGCCCGTCACCTAGCATGTGCATCATCTCAAAACCAATCACATAACACATAATCCGGGGTTTCATACCCTCAGGACCAAACTTAAAATTGTTACTTACCTCAAGCCGTGTAATTCTTTATTCTGCAATGTCTTTTCCTCGTGAATTGGCCTCCAAACGCCTCGAATCTAGCCACAAATAATTCGATCCAGTCAATAAAATTTATTGGAATTAATTCCATAAAGAAATACTAATTTTTCAACAAAATCCGAAATTTAGCTCAAAAATCGCCTGTGGGGCCCACGTCTCGGAACCCGACAAAAGTTACAAAATCCAAAATTCCATTCAACCACGAGTCTAACCATACCAATTTTACCAAAATCCTACCTCAACTCGACCCTCAAATCTTCAAATTAAACCAAGAGGGTTTTTTAAATTTTCCAACTTAATTCACCCATTAAATGCTAAAAACAACCATGGATTCGGATAATTTAACCAATATTGAGTTAAGAACACTTACCCCTTTGTTTTCTCTGAAAATCTCCCAAAAATTTCCTTTATCCGAGCTCCAAATCGGTAAAATGGAAAATGTTTTCACAACTTAAACTATCTGCCTAGTCATTTGCTCTACGCGATCGCGGACAACGACACACGATCGCGAAGCACAAATTTCCACTGCCCAGATTAAACCCTACGCGATCGCGGACTTTTACACGCGATCGCGGACTTTTCCACGCGATCACGAAGCTCACTCTTTTAACCCTACGCGATCGCGGACTCGTCCACATGATCGCGAAGCACAAAACGTATGACCTCTACTTCTGCTCCACTTACTCTACGCGAACGCGACCTTCTTCACGCATTCGCGAATAAAAAACTCGCATAGCTACGCGATCACGGCCCTCTTCACGTGATCGCAAAGAACAAAATCATCACTGCCTCAAACAAGCCTACGCGATCGCGGACATTCTCATGTGATCGTGTAGAAAGAAACCAGTGACAGAAAACCAGCATTCTTCAGCTGGAATGCCAAGTCCAAAATTGATCTGTTAACCATCTGAAACTCACTTGAGGCCCCGGGAACTCAACCAAACATACCGTCAAGTCCCATAAAATCATACGTACTTAGTCAAACCCTCAAATTACCTCAAACAATGCTAAAACCACGAATCATACCCCAATTCAAGCCTAATAAACTTTGAAATTTTAAGTTTCCACAAACGATGCCAGAACCTAGCAAATCAAGTCCGATTGACCTCAAATTTTGCACACAAGTCATAAATTACATAACAGACCTATTAAAATTTTCAGAATCGGATTTCGACCCCGATATCAAAAATTCAACCTCCCCAGTCAAACTTCCCAAAAAAATTCGACTTTCGCTATTTCAAGCCTAATTCCACTACGGACCTCCAAATAATTTTCCAGACATACTCCTAAGTCCAAAACCACCATACAGAGCTATTGGAATCAGCAGAATTAAATTCCGAGGTCGTTTACACATAAGTCAATATTTGGCCAATTTTTCCAACTTAAGTTTTCAATTAAGAGACTAAGTGTCTCATTTCACTCTGAAATCCTTCCGAACCCAAACCAACTAACCCGGTAAGTCATAAAATAACTATAAAGTATAAATTGAGCAGTAAATGGGAAAACGGGGTTATAATACTCAAAATGGTCGGCCGCATCGTTATATTCTCCCCTGCTTAAACAAACGTTCGTCCTCTAACGGGTTTGGAATCATACCTGGAGTCTCAAATAGGTGTGGATATTTTCTCTGTATCTCCTGATCAATCTCCCAAGTAGCTTCTCCGACTGGCTAGCCTCTCCACTGTACCTTCACTGATGCTATGTTCTTTGACCTCAGCTTTCGAACCTGCAGGTCTAAAATAGCCACCGGCTCCACATCATAAGTCAAATTACCGTCCAGCTACACTGTACTGAAATTCAGAAAATGAGATGGATCCCTGACATACTTTAGGAGCATGGATACATGGAATACTGGATGAACAACTGATAGACTAGGTGGCAAGGCAAGTTCATAAGCCACCTCTCCAATTTTCTTAAGTATCTCAAAAGGCCCAATATACAGAGGGCTCAACTTTCCCTTCTTCCCGAACCTCAACACACCCTTCGTGGGTGAAATCTTGAGCAGAACCTTCTCCCCAACCATGTAAGCAACATTACGAACCTTTCGGTCAACATAACTCTTCTGTCTAGACTGTGCTGTGTGAAGCCACTCCTGAATTAATTTAACCTTCTCCAAAGCATCCTGAACCAAATCAGTACCCAATAGCCTCGCCTCACCTGGCTCAAACCAACCCACCTGAGACCGACACCGTCTCTCATATAAAGCTTCATACAGAGCCATCTGAAGACTCAATTGGTAGCTGTTATTGTAAGCAAACTTTGCCAGTGGCGGTGAAATATTGTACTCAACTGAACCTGTGTGCCCAATTCTCGCTGCACTGCTCTCCAAAATTATGATGTAAATTGTGTGCCCCGATCTGATATGATGGACACTGGCACACCTTTTTGGCGAACAATCTCGCGGATATAAATATCAGCCAACCGCTCCGAAGAATAATTAGTACCAACTGGAATAAAATGTGCAGATTTGGTCAATTGATCCACAATCACCCAAACAGCATCAAACTTCCTAAAAGTCCGTGGGAGCCCAACTACGAAGTCCATGGTGATACGCTCCCATTTCCACTCCGG